TCTTCCACACACACCTCATAAATCTGTTCCTGACAGGATTGGAAGTCTCAATTGGCCTGACAAGTATTGCTTGCTGTGGCTCTAAAGAAACACACGAGCGCAGGGCAGGTTTTCGGCCCGGTTCTCAATAGCGGTCTCTTTGTCCTTGAGGGAAATGTTGGTGGAAGCAATCGGAGCATGTCCTGCAACAATGGCAGCCGTTGCATCATGGGAAAAGACAATCGCTTCCTGGGGTCAGACTGTTCGGAGCAGGTTGGTAACTGCCTCCATGCCTGTGGCAAGGGAAATCTTACACTCTGCCTCCTCTGCTGAGCCCGAACTGCACAACACCCTTCGCCAAATGGGTCCAGGAAGCAATGTGTCTAAACCTTTGGCCAGTGCCAAAACCTGATGGGGACACACATGACACTAACATGGAAAAAAGGCAGGAGCCCAGATTTTCCCAAAGACTTCACAGTAAGTGTACAATGTTACAAGTATACAATTGAATGAGTATCCAATTACATAAGTACACACTGACGGTATGCATGATGAATGCTGGGACCCTGGGAAGCACCAGGGATCAGAGGGACCTTGGTGTGAATGTACATCAGTCCCTTAAGCTATCAGGGCAAGTGGATAAAGTAGTTAAGAAGGTGAATGAGATACTTGCTTTTATTAACCGAGACATAGAGTTGAAGAGCAGGGAGGAGATGCTGGAACTGTGTGAAGTGTTGGTTAGGCCATAGCAAGTAATGTGTGCAGTTCTGGAATCCACATTACAGAAGGATGATAGCACTGGAGAGGGTGCAGGGGAGATTTGCCAGGATGTTGCCTCAGCTGGAGACTTTCAGCTATGGAGAGAGATTGGACAGACCAGGGTTGTTTTCCTTAGAGCTGAGGAGATCAACGGGGGACATGATTGAGGTGGATAAAATGATGAAGGGCACAGACAGGGTAGACAGGAAGAAACCTTTCCCCTTGATGGTAGGATCAGTGACCCGGGGAGTTGGCGGGGGGGGGGGGGGGGGGGGGGGGGGGGAGGGGTATAGATTTTAAGGGAAGGGGCAGGAGTTTTAGAGGAGATGCGAGGAAAAAAAACGTTTTCACCCAGAGGGTGGTCGGAATCTGGAACTCGCTGCCTAAGAGGGTAGTAGGGACAGAAATCCTCACAACATTGAATAAGTATTTAGATATACATTTGTGATGCCAAAGCTATGGGCCAAGTGCTGGAAAAGGGGATTAGAGCAAGTAGGTGCTTTGACCAGTGCAGACTCAATGGGCTGAACGGTCGTTTTCACCCGTAGTAGAGCTCTATGATTCTAATGATAACAGTATACAACGCGGCCTGTTCACCAAAACACAATGTCAAGTTCTAAATGTTGCCTCAATGTGAATACCCAGTGTCTGTCTCCTGTGGTGATGCAATTCACTATGTTTCTTCACTTGCATCAAGTTGCCAGTTCTGACTGGCCCTTACCTGGATGGACACGTCACTGTACGAGCCCCCGATGACCCCAGCGATGGCAAACGCCTTGTCATCATGGATGGCGAAAGATCCATCTGGACAGATATATTTGGTCTCGTCGACTTTAGCCAGTGACGATCTGACAAACTCCAGAGACTGCTCCAGCGCATAGGTGTCCTTGGAGCAGGTGTCCAGGATGTGGGCTCCCAGCTTGATCCCAGGCAAAATGCTGGGGTCCTTGTTTATTGCATCCAGGGCAAAGAGCATGGCCTCGAGCCTCTCAATGCCCCGCTGCTCATTGATCCTTCCGCAGTCTTCCAAACCATTGCCTTTCTCGTGGACTGGGAACAAGCCACCGATCACCAGATCCCCATCGATTGCAATCTCCTTCTTCCCAGCAAGAAAGCTGCTGGAGCTGGACAGGATCACCTGAAGCACGAGGTGTAGGAGGTTGAGCAGCTGTGGCTGGGACATATCCAGTGCGTTAGTCGGTGAGGGGCTGGGGGAGGAGTTGCTCCTACTGAGATCTCACAGCTTCCAGGAGACTGGGGTCAGTGATACCCCCAAGCTGCGAACAAAGGGCATCATCCTAGTCCATTGGCTGTGGAGACAGGAAGATCCAATTAGAGTGACATTTGGACATTGATTCAAATATTATCGAGTCATACAGCATGGAAACAGACGCTTCGGCCCAACACATCCACACAGACAGGTTTCCCAAACCTAACTAACCCCATTTGCCAGCATTTGGCCCATATCCCTCTAAACCTTTCCTATCCATGTACTCGTCCAGATGCCTTTTAAAGGTTGTAATTGTACCAGCGTCTACCACTTCCTCTGGCAGCTCATTCCATACACGCACCACCCTCTGCATGAAAAAAACTCCCCCTCTGCTCCCTTTTAAATCTTTCCCCCGTCACCTTAAACTTACCCCCACCCCCCCACCCCACTCCGGTTTTGGACTCCCTCACCCTTGGAAAAAGACTCCTGCGCTCCAGAGCAGAAAAGCCCCAGTCTATCCAGCCTCCCCCTTTAATTCAAACCCTCCAGTAACATCCTTGTAAAACGTTTCTCTACCCTTTTTCTGGAATATCTCAATCTCACCTTTTGCAACATATTCGTCAGCAGACTCTATTATGCAACTCCACACCCAAAGAAATCCTGCTCAACAATAAATCAGGCACGATGGCACACTGAGGAAAATTATCTTTAATTCATCCTCATTTGTTTCTGATGCAGTTCACATCGACACTGCTCTGATCAGTCCTACCTCCTCCCTAAGCACTCAGGTCTAACAGTCTTCTCTGCTGTATCCTGTTAACATGCCCAGCCTCTCACTGCTAACTTTTCCAACCTTTATTATAAAGAGTTTCACACAAATTACAACATTCAAGGAGCAGAGGTTTACCCTGTGTGCAGTTCTGGTCACCCTGTTATAAGAAGGATATTATTCAGCTGGAGATGGTTCAAAATAATTTATCAGGGTGTTGCCAAGAATGGAGGGTTTGAGTTATAAGGAGACGTTGGATAAGCTGGGATGTTTTTCCCCTGGAGCATAGGAGGTTAAGGGGTGACCTTGTAGAGGTTTATAAAATTGTGAGGAATATAGATAAGGTGAATGGCAGATGTCTTTTCCCTCGGTTGGGGGATTTCAAGACTAGGGGGTGTATTTGTAAGGTAAGAGCAGAAAGCTTTAAAAAGGCCACAAGGCGCAACCTTTTTACACAAAGAGTGGTTTGTGTGTGAAATGAACTTCCAAGGGAAGTGGCGGATGCGGGTACTGTTACAACATTCAAAGGGCGTTTGGATATTATAACAAATGTTTGGAGGGATTTGGGGCAGATGCAGGCCAAGGTGGGACTAGGTTAGTTTGGGAACATGGTCAACATGGTTGGACCAAAGGGTCTGTTTCCGTGCTGTATGACTCTATGACTCTACCTGAGGCTGGACTTTGCTTATCCCCTTTTTATTTCCCATCCATTAGCACTCACCTTCTCTGTTGAAGGAGTTCTGTATTTCACAAGCCTAGAGCCCTCTGGGCTATAAACCTTTTCCCTCTGTCCGTCATAAATCTCTTGTCTTTAATAATGTACCTTCTTCTGGGCACCTCAAAAACTGTCTGCATTCGATTATCTCTCTTCGATTGCTCCTAATCTTAAACATCTCCATCCAGCTCCAGTTTCCCAGCTTGGAAGTTGCTGGTAAATCTGTGCAGTATCCCCAGAACCCTTCCAGCAGTGTGGAGCTCAAACCCGCACTCGCTAGCCCCACTGTGTTGTTGGTCAGGATTTCCCATGCAGTCACCATTACTCTTATACCCAGCACCTTTCTCCAAGGGACCCAGATCTCCATTTGTCTTTCCAATATGGCTTTATCCACTTGAGGGGCCACTCTTTCATAAAATCCAGTTATCACCGGCAAACTCCATTTAACCATAGAGCCATAGAGATGTACAGCACGCAAACAGACGCTTCAGTCCAACTCAACCAGATATCTTAAATTAATGTAGTCCCATTTGCCAGTATTTGGCCCATATCCCTCTAAACCCTTCCTGTCCATGTACCCACATCCAGATTCCTTTTAAATGTTCTAAGGAGAGGCAATGGCCTAGTGATAATATCGCTGGACTGTTAACCCAGAGACCCAGATAATGTTCTGGGGACCTGGGTTCAAATCCAATAAATATCTGGAATTAAGAATCTAACGATGACCACGAATCCATTGTCGGTTGTTGGAAAAACTCATCTGGTTCACTAATGTCCTTTAGGGAAGGAAACTGCCATCCATACCTGGTTTGGCCTACATGTGACTCCAGACCCACAGCAATGTGGTTGACTCTTAACTGGCCGCTGGGCAATTAGGGATGGGCAATAAATGCTGCCTAAAAGCAACGCCCTCATCCCGTGAATGAATAAAGGAAAAAATAAATTGTACCAGCCTCCACCACTTCCTCTGGCAGTTCATTCCACACACGCACCACCCTCTGTGTGAAAAATCTTTCCCCCTTACCTTAAACCTATGCCCTCTGGTTTTGGACTTCCCTACTCTGGGAAAAAGACCTTGGCTATTCACCCTATCCATGTCCCTAATGATTTTATAAACCTCAATAAGCTCACCCTCAACTTCTGACACTCCAGGGAAAATAGCCCCATCCTCTCTCTATAGCTCATACCCTCCAACCTTGGTACCATCCTTGTAACTCTTTTCTGCATCCTTTCAAGTTTAACAACAAAAAACCTGGAATTGCACAAAGCAGAACAGAAGCACTTAGACAGAGTTTTGAAAAGGAATGGATACCCAAAAGGCACAGTTCACCATTACCTCTGTGACAGACCACAACAAGAAGACACAACACAGCCAGACTCACTAGTCCCCCTACCATACATCAGGGACATCTCAGAGATGACCACAAGACTACTCAGGCCCCTGGATATCAGTGTAGCCTGCAACCCAACAACCACCCTGCGACAGCTACTGATCAACGTAGAGGATCCTATACCTACAACCAATAAAACTAACATAATATACAAAATGCGAGGACTGTGAGAAATATTACATAGGCCAAACTGGAAGAAAACTGACAATAAGGATACACGAGCACTGACTAGCCACCAAGAGACCCAACCAGTTCTCACTGGTCTGAGTACACAAGGACAAAGAAGGACACAAATTCGATTGGGACAACACATCCATAATAGCACAAGCCAAACAGAGATATGCCAGGGGATTCCTGGAGGCCTGGCATTCCAACTGGAATTGAACATTGAACTGGACCTGATGTACAAATCACTGAAAAACAGAACCAGAAGTAATGTCAACCACCCCAGCAAACCGAGGAATATAAATAACCAGCGGGATAGAACACTGACGCTTCATCGAAGGGACAGTGATATTACCTAGCAGGGTGACAAAACGTCTGCAATAAAACACAACAGCTCAGCAATCAAATCTACAACCTCATCCACAACCTGAGTTACAAATCTTCTCAAAAACTTTAAATCTTTCCAACAGCAGGGAGACCAGAATTGAACGCAATATTCCAAAAGGGGTCTTGACAGCCATTGCTCAATATCTTGGAACTGATTGGCTCCAGAACCATTTCCAACAAACTATAGAATCCCTACAGTGTATAAAGAGGCCATTCGGCCCATTGAATCAGCACCAACCCTCCAAAAAGCTTCCCACCCAGACCCAGCACCCCCACTCTGTCCTCATAACCCTGCATTTCCAATGGCTAATCCACCTCACCTCCATAGTCCTAGACACCGTGGGGCAATTTAGCATGGCCAATCACTATCAGTGTACACCAGCAGGTCCATTTCCCTGAAAGGACATCAGTGATAATGACTCAGAATGTTTTTCCATCCTAGGACAATGAATTGAAGCTAAATTTCACTGGGTGGCAAGGTGGGATTTGAACCCATCTTCGCAGAGTATTGGCCCTACACCTTTTCATTACTAATCCACTGCAGTTACCACACATCACCATCTGACCTCCCTTGCCACATCTACATGAAAGCCCCAAATCCTTCCACTTCTACAAAATGTTCTGAGCTCTGCTTGGCTGTACTCTTGATGAGGAGGGTGCTGGTGTTCGACTGGGGTGGACAAGGTCAGAAATCACACGACACTAGGTTATAGTCCAACAGGTTTATTTGAAATCACAAGCTTTCAGAGTGCTGCTCCCAAAGGACTATAATCTGGTGTGGTGTGACTTCTGGCTTTGGCTGTACTCTGAAAGGTTTCATCTCCAGCCTCTAGCCTCTTCTCCCTACCATTCCACACTCAGTGTCTTGCCTTCACATGGGAGTTAGATGAAAAATGGACTTTTTAGTGCCTGATTGGATGATTCCACACCGTTACTCAACCAACCTTTTCTGCATTGTGTGTATTATAAAATGTACAAAGAAAAACTCACGTATTTTTACCGCCCTTATAACTTCACTCTCACTTCATAAGATTAATGTTTAATTCCTGAGAATCTCCAAGGCTAGCTTGCAGGTGTGGCAAGCAAACTGGAGGCAAACATCAGGTTAGCCTTTATTACAAGGGGATTTGAGCAGAGAGCAAAGAAGGCTTGTTTCAATTTTACAGGACACTGGTGAGACTTCATGTGAAGTAACGTTGTGGTTTTGGTTCTCTTGGCTCAAGAAGAACATATTTGCCACAGAGGGTGTGCAGTGGAATGTCTGTCGTATGAGGAGACAGGATTTTATTCCTATTCTTTGCAGTTGAGAAGAGTGGGAGACCATCTCACAGATACTTCCAAGACTCAGAAAGGGGTGAACGGGACAGATGCAGGTCCACTGATCTATGAGGGCTAGAACCAGGCGACATAATGAAAAGAAGACTGTTTAGGACTAAGGTGCAGAGAAATTTCTTCACACAGAGAACGGTAAACCTTTGAAATTCTCTATCCCGGACCATTGTGAAAGCTCAGTCATTAAATAAGTTAAAGAGAGAGATTGATAGAT